TCTGTTGCTTATAACAAAATACCTGGAACTGGGTGATTTGTTAGAAAATGAAATTTACTGCTTGCAGATTCAAAAGTTAGGGAGTCAAAAGTCCAGGGAACACAGCTGGTGAAGAACTTGGTGGAGATGACAATGACCCAGGGGTCTCACATAGCAGAAAATGGTAGGGCAGATTGAGGTCAACCTCTCATATGTTCTTCTTTTAAAGCCCTCAGAACCACATCCCTGCCCACCATTATTAACCCATTCATTATGGTATGGTCCTATGATCTAATCACATCGTTAAGGACCCATCTTTCAACTACCATAATAGGATTACCCACCATCCTAACACTGTCATACAGGGGGTCAAGTTCAGTCCAAGGCAGGGAAATATCAAAATTTCAATGCTACCTGAAGAAATCAGAATGATTGAGCAAACTTAAGAGCTTCTGAGTAAAAACAAGAGAATAAAACAAGAACAAGGATAGAGTCTGCAGAAGCACTTTATCTTTTAATATAAGAAAGAGGAAAAGAAATACAATGTGAAGGACAAAAAGAAATTTTCAAAATTTAATCCACAATAAAGGAAAGCTCAGTATTAAAAAGCCTCCCAATACAATTCATCATATAAATAAATAATTCATTATATATATATATATATATTGCATTTGGTCTGTTTGGAAACACAAGATATTTGAAGTTCTATGAGTGAAAATCCTTTAAATATTTATGTAGATGTTAGAGAGATACAAAGGGGGCAGGCTAGTATAGGGATCAAACTGTGGTCCTTGACAGTAGTGACACCACACTCTCACCAACTGAACATAGCTGACTGAACACAGCTGAGAAAAAAATCTTTGAGTTTGAGGATAGATCACAGAGAATAAAAACTGAAAAGCATACACACACAAGAAAAACACAAAAGGAACAGAACATAATATCTGAAGAGTACTGGACAATGTCAAAAGTTGTAATATAGAGTAATGAGAAAACCAGCAGAAGAAGAGAGATGGAGAAAAAAAAAAGAAGAAACACTTAAAACAATAATGTCTGTGAACTTCCACAAATTAATCTCAGGCACCAAACCAAAGATCAACGGAGTTAAGATAACATAGAACCAGATAAATGCCAAAAATCTACATCTAGGCATGTAGTTCTCAAACTTCAGAACACCAAAAATAATTTTAAAAAATCTGAAGCCAAAAGGAGGAAAAAAAATCTTAACTAAAAAGAAACAAGATACTAATTATAGCCAACATTTCCTGAGAATCCATGTAAGGAGAGAATACAGTGAAATATACAAACAATTGATGAAAGAACCCTACAACATAGAATTCTGTACACTATGAAATCAACTTGTAAAAAAGAAGAAAAAATAAAAACTTTCTCAGGGAAACAAAAATTGAAAGAATTTGTTGCCAGGACACCTGTAGTGGAAGCAGTGTGAAAAAAAGAAAAAACGTACAGAGAAGAAAAAAGGTATAGGTTAGAATCTGGATATACAGAAAGAGAACTAAAGAAATAAGTGAAGGTTCAATAAAAAGCTTTTCTTGAGGCT